GCTGCGCCTGCTGGACCAACCGCTGGCCACCCCCGCCAAGGCCGCAGAGCAAGGCAGCAGCAGCGGCGGCGGCGGCGCCTCGCCCGCCCCTCAGCGGTTGGTGGTGGCCTGAGCTGCCAGCAGCCTAGGCGTGGCGTGGCGCACCACCACCATTTGCAGTGCATGCAAGTGTGACGTGTTGCCTTGTCGCATTCGGTTCGATGCATTTCCGCCCTGCAGGTAGTGTTGCTGCGGCGCAATGCCACGCCTGCATGCCATGCGACCAGAAGCTAGCGCTGCGCTCTGCGCAGCGAGCTGCCGGCGTGTAAACCAGAAGGCCGTTGCTGGCCGGGGCAGGGGGTGCCCGCCCGCCTCCCCACACATCCTCCTGCCTCGACAGCTGCGGCGCACACCCACAGCTCTCGGCTGAGGGTATGGCAGCTTCTTCCCCAACAGGCGATCTGGCCAGCCTGTGGCAGCTCACAGTGCTGCAGCGGCTGCGGCTGGACTGCACGCATTGCACCGGCAGCTGGCCCGGCCCGGCTGCCCTGAGCCGGCTGCAGCGGCTGGAGCTCCGTGCAGGCGCCGCTGAGGCCACAACCACCAACCACTGGAGCCACGCCGCGGTCTGGTCCCGCTGGACCGCCGGCGGCATGGCGCCATGCCGGCTGCCTACAGGCCCTTTGTGGATGTAGTAGTGGCAAGCCGGCTAAAGTGCAGGTCAATCGACAGGGTGGAAACACTGTCCAACAGAATAGCTGAGGAGCGTAAAGGCCGGGAGGTCTGGCAGGCAGCTGTTGCATGCGATGCAGCGCCGCCAAGCCGAGCGCACGTGACGAGTTGCTGCGTGGTGGCTCACGGCTAGCCCTTAAGGCTTGCTCCACAGCACGGCACCGTTGTTGTCGAGCACTGCCACGCGGCAGGCGGAGGAGAGGGTGACCCTGCGCGGGGCGGCGCCCTGGTTGTTGGTGTTGGAGGCCCAGATGACACCGTTGCCGTACGCCACCAGGTTGCCATCGTACTGCATCAGCAGGGTGCAGGCTTGGGCGGGGGCGTTGCCGGGGCCGGGGCCGCAGGGGCAGGCGTTGGAGAAACAGTTTAACGCTGCGCGCGTCAGGCGGGGAACGTCGGGCAGGGGGAGGCAGGGGAGGGGGGGTGTCAGGGCTGGCTCGCGTGGCCGCTGTGCGGTAGGCCGCATGCTGCACTGCAATGACCGATGCGCGTGGTTGGCCGAAATGCGCGACGGCGCAGCTCACGTGTGTTGGACGCCCAGAGTGGCGTTGAACCCCCGTAGAGCACGACGTTCCTTTCCGCCTGGAGGATGAACTTGCAGGGCCCATTGGTCAGCTGGGTGAAGGAGGTTTCCGCCCAGGCTGCAGGTGTGGGCCGGGGAGCGCAGTGGCCGGTGCACAGTCTGTGCTGCAAGCTTGTTCTTGCTGAAACCGGACTGCGAGCCCACATAAGCAAAGCACGTGGCCAACCTTCTGCTGCAGCAAAAGCGGCGCATATATACCAGCTTGCCAGGCTGGTCTCACCGGTGTGTGGGACGCAGGACGAATACGAGGGAGAGCGGGATGGTGAATAGGTGCCCGGGGGGCACGCGGCACAATACGTGGCTCCCGTCGGGGATGCGGAGTAAAAGTTGTTGGGGCAGGGCTGCACGAAGCGCATGGATGTTAGTTGGGGCACAGAGCTTGGCATGTGCGCGGGGTCAAAGGGCAGCACCACTCACTGTGCAGGTGGCACTGGAGGTGGCGCCCACAGCAGATGACGAGGTGCCTGCATCGCATGCCGTGCACAGAGCTGCGCCAGCGGCCGACCAGGTGCCTGCTTGGCAGACCTGCAGAGGCAGCGGAGGGTGGCAGGCGCCAGTAATTGCTTACCCTTGCAGTTACAAGCGCCTGGCAGGCTGTCCACAGTCGAAAACCTGCACCACTCACCATGCACGTTGAGCTGGAGTAGGAGGGAGCAAAGGTGCCCGCATTGCATGTAGTGCACTGAGCTGCGCCAGCGGCCGACCAGGTGCCCGGTAAGCAGGCCTGCAGCAGCAGCGGAGGGTGGCAGAACCCAAACACTGCTTGCCATTGCTGATCCAAGCGTTTGGCAGGCTGTGCACTTGAGCAAACAGAAGCACCACATGCCTTGCAGGCGTTAATGGAGGTGGCGTTCTCAGCCGACGACGAGGTGCCCGGGATGCACAACGAGCACTGAGCTGCGCCAGCGGCCGACCAGGTGCCTGCTTGGCAGACCTGCAGCGGCAGCGGGTGGTGGCAGGCGCCAGTAATTGCTTACCCTTGCTGGTGCAAGCGCCTGGCAGGCTATCCACAGTCAATTGGCGGTTCGAAACTTTGCAATCAGCAGCACCACTCACCGTGCACGTGTCGGCAGAAGTGGCGCTCACAGCAGAAGACGAGGTGCCCGCGCCGCACGCTGTGCACTGAGCTGCGCCAGCATCCGACCAGGTGCCCACTGGGCAGCTCTGCAGCAGCGTGACAGGGTGGCAGAAGCCAGACGCTGCTTAACCTTGCCGGTCTAAGCGTCTGGCAGGCTGTCCACAGTCAAGTGACGGGTCGAAAACTTTGCAAGCAGCAGCACCACTCACCGTGCACGTGTCAGCGGACGTGGCGCCCACAGCAGAAGACGAGGTGCCCGCGCCGCACGCTGTGCACTGAGCTGCGCCAGCATCCGACCAGGTGCCCACTGGGCAGCTCTGCAGCAGCATCGGAGGGTCGCTGAAGCCAGCCTGCTGCTTATAATGTTGATACATGCATCTGGCAGGCTGTGCACAGGCATGCAGCAGCACAACCCACCGTGCACGTGTCGGCGGACGTGGCGTTCACAGCAGAAGACGAGGTGCCCACGCCGCACGCAGTGCAGGCCTGGTTGGCAGAGCCCGATGCATAGAAGCCCTCTGCGCAACCTTGGCAGGTGGTAGAGCCAGGCTCAGACGAGTAGGTACCAGCTGTGCACTCGGTGCAGGTGGAAGCGCTATCGGCGCCTGTGGCCGTCGAGTAGGTGCCGGCATCGCATGGGGTGCAGCTGGCAGCGCCGGGGTCGGGCGTGTAGGTGCCCGCAGCGCACTCGGTGCACTGCGATGCGCCGGCCGCAGACCAGGTGCCTGCGGGACAGCTCTGCAGCAACAAACGAGGCGCACACGGCACCAACTGATGTTGTGGCAAGCTGAAATGGCAGCTCTCTGTTTGCGGCACCTGGCCGATAGTGGCGCTCACCTGGCACGTGGCCATATGGAATTCTCCACATTGCTTGCTGTGCCCGCGGGACATGCCTGGCGGAGCAGGGTGGTGAGAGTAAAAAGGTAAAGGTTAAGGTAAAGGTGGGGAAGAGCCTCCACAGGCTAACTTCCCGTCGACGCGTCGACGCAATTACAGGTAGGGAGGTTGGTGGGCAGCAAGCATGAGCTGGAGCTCCATCCGTCGTGCACAGCAGTTGGTGCAGCTCACCGTGCAGGTGGCAACGCCAGCGTCTGCCCAGGTGCCCAGGGGACACGCCTGCAATGCACACAATATTGTTGGCTGCTGTCGGATGGCAGGTTACTGCGATGATATGCAATGTCTGCAATTGCAAGACCCTTTGCGAATGCAAAGACTTGACATACAAAAAGCAAGCAAAATGCAGGCTAGTCACTCCCACCTGGCAGGTCGCTGCAGAGATGGCACCCTCCACATCGCTGGCGGTGCCCGCGGGACAAGCCTGCAGACATGCGTGATGAGGCCGCGCTCACACCGTGCACCAATGGGGCGACACAGAAACACGCTACGGCGCTTGGAACGTTCACGTGAGTGCACTCACCGTGCAGGAAGAGGAGCCCGGCGAAGAAAAGGTCCCACGAGCGCAAAACTGCAGACAAGAAGAGGCTGGTGAAGCCGGGAAACACACTCAACAGACAGCCATTGTGTGCGGTCGCCCGGGTGGCTCAAGCTTGCCTGGCAGGAGAGCGAGCCCGCGCTGCTCCATGTGCCGGCGGCGCACGCCTTGCACCACGAGGTTCTGTCTTGGCCTCCGTAGTTCAGGAACTGACCTGCCGCGCAGCTCGTGGTGTTCACCTGCGGGCATTGCAGAATGCCGTGCCGGCGGCGCAAGGTGTGTCACTGACAGCAAGTCAGCACGGGTGCACAACTGCAGCACGAGTGCACCACGGGTGCCACCCAGAATAAGAGTGTACGTGCTCGCACCAGGTTGAGGGCGACCAAGCTTGCTTGTGCTGCAAGTATCGACGGGTTGACGGATTGCGTCCTGCAAGGTTTTGGCATGCTTGTTTGGTGAGCACTGCACTGCGCAAGGGGCCGCCCAAGAGCACGCGGCAGCAGAGGCGCCGCACCAGGAGTCGGGGGCGCCGCTGCTGTACGACATCCAGTCGGCCGGCGGCGGAGCCATCTCTACTCCAGACTCTATCGTCATCGCTGCAGGCTGGCATGCATAGAGGTACAGCGGGGCGACGGAGGGGCTGGACAGGACCAGCGCGCGCAGCACGTCGGTGGGCACCGGGAACCGCGCGGCGTCCAGCTGCAGCGTCACCAGCGCCGGGGTGCGCGACAGCGCAACCCGGACATCTTGAGCCGCAATTTGGGCGTCGGGCACGGCCCCTGTCAGGCTGCCCAACTTTCCGTCGCCGGCGTCGACGACGCTGGTCACAGTGTATAGCGCCACCCTGATGGCGTAGGTTCCGATGGAGTCCGCGCCGATGCCAACTGTAAGGGAGTGGATGCGCCCGGGGTGCGCGACCGAAAAGACTCGAGCTCGCCATTGGGTCGAACTGATGGCAAAGTTCAAAGACGCCAGGTTCGAAGTTCCGCCCGGGAGTTGATGCTGCTGCTGCTGCTGCGAAACCTGCCAGTCTTGGGTCGCATCTCGGCTCAGAGAGCATGTGGTGGAGCGAGTGTTGTCCATGAACAGGCTGCACGCACGCGCGGCAGGCGCGGGTCAGGCGCGGGCGCAGCGAGGCCATCCACGGCGCCCGCGAGGTCACCACACGGGCAGTTGCAACAGCATGCCCTGCACACTCACCTGCACACGCCCGCCACGCACTTGCTGCCGTACTGGGTCGGGTTGCTGCAAAGGCCCGCCTCTACGGCCACACACCTGCCGTCGACCGCGCACGTCTGGCACTGGCCACACCCCCTGCCTGCATTGTTGCACCCCAGGGCGCCCTCGCAGGCCGTGGCGCCCGTGCTGCTCGTGGTCTGGTCCGCCGGGCAGGGCAAGCAGGATGAGCTGCCAGGCTCGGAGGCGTAGGAGTCGAGCGGGCATGCAGTGCAGCTGCCGGCTAGTCCAGAGGCCGCCGAGTAGGTGCCGGCCTCGCAAGGGGTGCAGGTGGAAGCGCTATCGGCGCCTGTGGCCGTTGAGTAGGTGCCAGCATCGCATGGGGTGCAGCTGTCGGCGCCAGGATCCTGGGAGTAGGTGCCGGCATCGCATGGGGCGCAGCCGGTAGCGCCAGGTGTCGGCGAGTGGGTGCCCGCAGCGCATGCGTCGCAGGTGGAGCCAGGCGTCGCTGAGTAGGTTCCAGCTGTGCACTCGGTGCAGGTGGAAGCGCCGGAGGCTGATGAGGAGCCCGCCGGGCAGTTCTGCAGGGGGGGGCGACGACGGAGAGGAAGAGTGGGCTTGTTTGTGTGCTTGTGTGGGCTTACAGTCTGGTTTCAGCAAGAACAAGCTTGCAGCACAGACTTTGCTGCCAAGGGCTCACAAAGGCAGGCCACCACCTGCGCAGCAGGCCATGCAATGTCATATGGCAGTGCATGCATGCACCATATGGAAAACACATTTGCTTGCCTTGCAGGTGGAGAAGCCGGAGATGGAGTAGGTTCCGGCAGGACTGCGGAGGGGCGATGGAGACAAACGTGCATCAGCATCAGCCGGGCGCCTTGCCGCGAACTGGCAGCAGCATGCACGACGCATGAGCTCAGCATGCACTCGCCGGGGCGCACCAGCCAGTGCAGTTTGTGGCGTCCACGCTGCCAACAGATGCCATGGAGCCGCTGGGGCACACCACCGGGCCCCAGCTCCACGTGGGACAGTAGTACCCGCTGGGGCAAGCGAGCGAGGCGCTGGAGCCAGGGGGGCAGTACCGTCCAGCAGGGCAAGGCTCGCAGGCGCCGGGGGAGGCGGCGCCGACGGCGTTTGACACGGTGCCGCCGGGGCACGGCTGCCAGGGGTGGGAGGGGCAGGGGTGGGCATCACAGGTGGTCATGAATGGTCAGCGGCGCAACGCAAGAATATAGAATATATCTCAGCCGTACAACGCAACAAATGCAACGCAACAAATGCAACGCACCAAATGCAGGCCACTCGAAGCAGCAAGCATATCGCCAAGGGCCCTCACCGTGCAGGCGCTGGAGCCGGGCTCATCTGCGTACGTGCCTGCCGGGCAGTCGCTGCATGTCGTGGTGCCTGCGGCGGCAAACTGGCCAGCGGCGCATGGGTCACAGCTGTCAGAACCCCAAACAGACCCTGGCGAGCAGGGAGGTGGCGGAGCCGGCACGGGAGGTGGCGGGCTGGGCGGTGGCGGGGAGGGAGGTGGTGGGCTGGGAGGCTCCGGCGAGGGAGGCGGGCGAGGGCTTGGGGGCTCCGGAGACGGCGGCTCGGGCTCGGGGGGCGGCGGCTGAGGCGGCGGCGACGGCGGCGGCGGGCTGGGCGGGGACGGCGGCGGCGGCGTGGCGCAGAGCGTGGCGGCTCCCAGCGACACCGTCAGCTCATCCACCGAGAGGCCGGGGTAGTCATCGGCCACATAGAAGCGAGGGTAGGCGATGCGGGTGACCACGGCGATGCCCGAGGCATCTTCGTTGACAGACAGCAACGCCATCTGGGCGTTGCTGCCTGCAGGGTGGCAGCGGGAGGGTCGGTGGCGTGTGTGTGCGTGTCTGTGTCAACGCGGCATCGGCTGGCTGCAGCAGCCGGCGGCGTGGGGGCGGCAGCCGTGCCACCCGCAGCCAGGCCACAGCCGCCACCAGCAACCTGCACGCAACAAGGGCAGGACGTACCGCCGGCCTGCTGGGCCACGCTGGCCAGGTAGGCCAGCTGCTCGCTGTCGTCAAACGCCGCCTGCGTCCTGCCAGGCAGGCGAGCGGTGAACACGACTTGCAGGCCGGAGGGAGGCGGCGAGGGGGGCGAGGGCGAGGGCGGCTCGGGGCTGGGTGGGGGAGGGGGCGGCATGGGAGGCGGTGGGCGGTGGGGGCAGCTGGTGGCACCAGGCCCAGTAGCGCTCACTCCTGCCGGGCAGGCCGTACAGGAGGTGGCGCCCCAGACGCTTGAGAAGGTGTTGACGGGGCACAGCTGGCAGGCGGTGGCGTTGAGGGAGGGGTTGAAGCGGCCGGGCGCGCACGCCGTGCACGCCGTGCTGCCGCTCGACGCCGCGACGGTGCCGGCCGGGCAGCGCTGTTCGGCGGGAGGCACACGGACAGGCGCGTGAGTTGACAGCAGGGGCAGGCAAGGATACCAGCCATGGCGGCAGCTGCGCTTGGCAGTCCGCCCACACAGAGCACGCACACGGCCACTGCCCAGGTCTGCTCACGCGGCCGACCATAGCGGGGTGGCTGTAACACAGAGATCTCTAGAGCTGGCTGCCGGCAGCAGCCGCTCACCGTGCATGCCGCCGACCTCCAGGCCATACTGTAGAAGCCTGGGGGGCAGGGCAGGCAGGCGGCGGAGCCAGCTGCCGCGTAGCTTCCGGGCTCGCATGGCGTGCACACAGCCGTGGCCGCGCCGGTTGCCGCGGTGCCGACAGCGCACGCGGGGCAGGACTTGGCGCCGGCGCTGGAAAAGTTGCCTGGTGGGCAGTCGGTGCAGGAGGTGCTGCCGTTCAGAGGCTGGTAGGTGCCCGCGGCGCAAGACTGCCGCAGGCGGGAGGGGAAGGCGGAGCAGGCGGTCAGCTCAAGGGAAGCAGGAACTGAGAATGGCCAAGGGAGCGGCAGGCACCCATCCTGGAGCATTCACTTGCTCCTTGTGGGTGTACCAGACAGCCCCTGCTCACCGTGCACGAGCTGGAGTTGGCTGCCGCCGAGAAGGTGCCCGCCAAGCATTCGCGGCAGGCCGCGGACCCAGCTGCGCTGGTGGAGCCGGCGGGGCAGGGCTCGCAGGCGGCGCTGCCGGTGGCGTTGGCCGCAGAGCCGGCGGCGCACGCCAGGCAGCTGGTGGCGCTGGCTGATGCCGAGTAGCGGCCGAGCGGGCAGGGCGTGCAGGTGGCGGCTCCGGCTGCGGAAAAGTTGCCCGGCTGGCAGGGCAGGCAGCTGGTGTTGCCAGCCTGGTCTTGGTAGCTGCCTGCTGCGCAACGCTGCGTCATGGAAAGGGGAGGGAGAACGGCAGCCACCGTGAGCGATTGTGAGCTGGGGGCAGGTAAGGTGGGCATGCCGTATTCAGTAGCAGCAGCAGCCAGCGTGCTCCGGCAGCCAGCATCAGCTCAAAACCCTTACCGTGCAGGTGGCGGTGCAGGCTGCGGCGGAGTACGAGCCGGCAGCGCAGTCGCGGCAGCTGGTGGAGCCGGTGGTGTTGGCAAAGGTGCCGGCGGTGCAGTTGGTGCAGGAGGTGCTGTTGTACCGGTTGGCAAAGGTGCCGGTGGGGCACAGCTTCGGGCAGAGCAGGCAGGGCAGGCGAGGCCAACGCATCAGCGGTGCGGGGCAGACGGCAAGAAAGGGCTCTAAGCAGCTGGGCGCTGGGACATCCAGCAGACAACACACAAGCGCCTCACCGTGCACGTGTTGGCACCAGGCGTGGTGCTGAAGCGCCCGGGAGCGCAGACGGTGCACTCCGTGCTGCCGGTGGTGGGTGCAAAGAAGCCCGCGGGACAGGTGAGGCAGGTGGTGGCGTTTTCCGTGGCCGAGTAGCGCCCAGCGGCGCACAGAGTGCAGGTGGCGGCGCCAGCCGCGGAGAAGCTTCCTGGCTGGCACCCGAGGCAGGATGTGCTGCCAGTGGTGCTGGCAAAGGTGCCGGCAGTGCAGGTCTTCAGGAAAGGGAGCATGGGGTGCATTGCAGGTTATTAGGGGGCAGGGACCAGCCAGGCCATGTCACGACATTGCTTACTGGCACATCCGAAGCGGTCACACCACAGCACGTGCTCTCACCAGGCAGGTAGTGGCGTTGGCTGATGGCGAGTAGCGGCCGAGCGGGCAGGGCGTGCAGGTGGCGGCTCCGGCTGCGGAGGAGCTGCCCGGCGCGCAGGGCAGACAGCTGGTGCTGCCAGCCTGGTCTTGGTAACTGCCTGCTGGGCAACGCTGCGCCATGGGAGGGGCGATCGGCGGCCATTGAGAGTGAGCTGAGGGCAAGCAGGTGCAAGCAGGCACGGGAGCATGATGGCATTCTGTTGCAGCAGCGGCCAGCGTGACTCAGTTGCCAGTCTGCTCACCACAGCAGCATCACCAGTTCATAGATGACTTACCGTGCAGGTGGCGGTGCGGGCTGCGGCGGAGTACGAGCCGGCAGCGCAGTCGCGGCAGCTGGTGGAGCCGGTGGTGTTGGCAAAGGTGCCGGCGGTGCAGTTGGTGCAAGAGGTGCTGTTGTACCGGTTGGCAAAGGTGCCGATGGGGCACAGCTTTGGGCAGAGCAGGCAAAGCAAAGCGGGACCGTCACGTTAGCGGGGCGGGGCAGATGGCAAGACGGGGCTCCCGAGCAGCTGGCCGTTGAGACATCGAGCAGCCAACACGCAAGCGCCTCACCGTGCACGTGTTGGCACCAGGCGTGGTGCTGAAGCGCCCGGGAGCGCAGGCGGTGCACTGCGCGCTGCCGGTGGTGGGTGAGAAGAAGCCCGCGGGGCAGGCGAGGCAGGATGTACTGCCGTTGTCGATGGCAAAGGTGCCGGCGGTACAGTTGGTGCAAGAGGTGCTGTTGTACCGGTTGGCAAAGGTGCCGGTGGGGCACAGCTTTGGGCAGAGCAGGCAAAGCAAAGCGGGACCGTCACGTTAGCGGGGCGGGGCAGATGGCAAGACGGGGCTCCCGAGCAGCTGGCCGTTGAGACACCCAGCAGCCAACACGCAAGCGCCTCACCGTGCACGAGGTGGCACCAGGCGTGGTGCTGAAGCGCCCGGGAGCGCAGGCGGTGCACTGCGCGCTGCCGGTGGTGGGTGAGAAGAAGCCCGCGGGGCAGGCGAAGCAGGTGGTGGCGCCGGCCGCGGAGAAGCTGCCCGGCTGGCATGCCGCGCAGCCACCGGCGGTGGCATCAAAGTATTGGCCCGCTTCGCACGCCTGCACAGAGCAGCAGCCATCACAGAGGGCAGCATTGGATGATCGGATGCGTGCTCAGAGGACCCCCAGCGGAGGCTGGCGGGCGGGCGGGCGGCGAGCCACACGCAGCAGCCTGCCTGCACTGCACCCACCTGCTGCAGCCGCCGGCGGCCCAGCCCCAGCCGCACACGCCAGCCGGGCCTGCGTGGCAGGCAGCAGAGGAGCTCTTCTGTGGAGCTGGATCCTCCAAGTGCATAGTCTCCTCCTTCTGAGCTCTCCTTCTGAGAAGGGTGACAGGAGAGCAGAGCAGGGACGGCACACAGGACCTCCGCAAGCCTCACCTGGTAGCGCTAGCAGGCGGCTCCAGCTCATCGCCACGAGCGCCTGCGGGGCAGCAAAGGCAGCCAACGCAGGAAACAATGATGATCCTGCTGTAGACATGGAGGTGCGAGCTGGGTGAGCAGTGGCTGCTTCAGGCCTGGGGTCCGCAGGTGTTGGAAGCCGCCGGCGGTGCCGCGAGCGGGGGCGAGGCGAGGGGAGCTAAGAGTGGGCAGCACCACCGGCACCACGGCGATCAGCACTCGGCGTGCAGCATGCTGGCGGGCACGGAGCTACCACTGCGCAAGCCTGAGACAAGTAGACAAAGTACGTACAGCGCTCTCATAGGAGGCCTGCGGCCGTTTGCGGGATGCTCACCTGCCACAAAGGACGCGCTCATCAACCCTATCAGCAGCGCGCATGCGGCCAGGCAGCGTGGCCGCCTGGGCATGATGGCGTGGGCACAGGGTGCTCTCTGCAGTCCAGCTGCGTGCTTCTCCCGGCTCCGTGAGGACAGGCAACACAACGACGATGTTGTGCTGGATTGGCAATCTCTCACCTCGGCTCCCACGCCAGCTTCTGCAGTACTGGAACATGGCGGGCGCCCAGTTTTCAAGCACGCAGAAGACCCCCCCGCGGTTGTCAGGGCACCCTGAATGGTCTGATGCGGCCACCCCTGCATCGCCGCCGCCGCCGCCCCTTCCCCGCCCTCGAGCACAACACTCTTCTGGCGCTCAATTTCTCAGAGGCGGAGCTGGCCGCTGTCGTAGACATTGTGCCGGGACATGGGCCGGAGCGGCCACTCCCTGGCAGGCTTCGTGCTGCGCCGCTGCTGCACGTCAGGGGTATAACAGGCAGCGCCGCACTCGGCACGTCGTCCCGTATGTTATTATCCTCACCACCGCCAGCCATGCTGCTTGGCGTGCCACTGCTGCCGGCGGAGACGTCCTTAACACGGATTGCACCGGCTGCTGCTGTGACCACCAGGGCGCTCAGCCAGGGCCCCGCCACCGCTCGCTGTCATGCAGCTGCCCTGCTGCTGCCGCCAGCGCCGCGCCAGCGCCGCACCAGCGGCTGGCACTCCTTCAGCCTGGCTGGGCTGGGCAGCGCAAGTATCCTTCAACCCCCTGAACTGCCCTTTCTGCCACTTCCCTGCAGCCCCACCAACCCTGCCGTCGCCATGGCTTCCTTACCTGTGGCAGTGCTGGGCACCGCCGGCCCGGCGCAGGAGGCCATCCTCGCCCACCTGTCGCGGCGGGACAAGTGAGCAGGGCAGAGGCAGGATGCGTGGATTGGTTTCGTGCTTGCTGCACCAAACGTCCTGCGCCTGCGATCTGCATGCCGCCTGCCCGTGCAGCGAGCCAGTGCCGCCCACCCTGCTCCACACCGCAGGCTGAGCCTGGCTGCCAGCTGCACCGCCCTGTACGGCTCAAGCCTGGCACGGTTCCCAGAGGGTGATGTGGTGGTGACGCCCACCGTGACTGATGTGGCGGCAGTGGCGGCCTGGCTGCACAAGCATGGAGGTGAGCCCTGCCCTGCCTGGCGGCCAGCGAGGCTCCCAGTCTCCTCGCCCCCCTGCCACGTGGTGCACCCACCAGCCTCCACCTGCCAACCCTTCCTGCTGCAGCTCGTGCAAACGCATCACTTTGTCTGCCACCCAGCCATCCTGGCAAGCTGGACATCAGCCAGGAGGAGGTGTGCGCCTGCCTGAGCGCCATGCCGGCCGGCCTGGTGGCTTCGCTGGCTGCCGGCCATTGCGTTGAAGGGCTCCAAGCTCTGCTCCCCACCAGCGCCCTGGCACGCCTCACACACCTGACCTCTCTGGAGCTGCCTTTGGAAAGCGACTTCCTCCCGGCAGGCAATGTGGCCAGCCTGGGGCAGCTGACAGCGCTGCGGCGGCTGGAGCTTGACTGCGATCATTGCAGCACAGCTGCCGCGGCCTGGCTGCCCTGAGCCGGCTGCAGCACCTGGAGATTCGCTGCTGCACTGTTCCTCCCTTCAAAGACCTACCAGCCGGCCTTTCCTCCCTGGCGGGCCTCACCCATCTGGACCTCTTGACGATCGCACCCTTGCCTGCGGAAGACGCCATTCGCTGCCAGCACCTGCAGCGGCTGAGCCTGCTGCAGTATTTGAGCCTGCAGATCGTCGCCACCAGTGGTGACGTGGCGGCGGCGCTGCCTGCGCTGCCTGCGCTGACCTATCTCCGCTGCACCGGCATGTACCCGCAACCTGCGGCAGCAGCAGTGAGCTGGCACAATTTGTGCGGGCTGACAGCGCTGCAAGAACTGTCTGTTGGCTATTGCCGCATTCAGCAGCTGCCCTCACCGCTGCCACAGCTCAACGCGCTGACCAGCTTGATCATCGCGTCTCAGGACTGCCTTGCACTGCTGGCGCTGCTGCCTGCCCTGCGGCAGCTGGAACGCCTGGATTTCAGCTGGTGTGAGCTGCCAGCCGTGCCGGAGCAGCTTTCGGCGCTGACAGCCCTGACGTGGCTCAGCCTGTTAGGGAGCCGCAATCTGGCAGGCGGCTGGCAGCACCTGCGCCCGCTCACGCGCCTGCGGGAGCTGAACCTGCTGTGTGTGCCGCTGCCCGACGGCGTGCCCCCAGAGGTGGCCGCGCTGCCTGCGCTGGAACGCCTGCGTACCCTCCGTTTCTGAGGGGGTGGCAACTCTCCCTCGGTCTCAATGGCAACTCCATTGGCCTTCCTTAAATTGTTCATGCACATATATATAAAATGTGCATGCCTTGCTTTTAACTGAAAACGTCATGTACAGTCATATGTAATGCTTGTGTGGGCTTACAGTCTAGTTTCAGCAAGAACAAGCTTGCAGCACAGACTTTGTTGTTTGAGCAAGGAGGGATGAAGCAGTAGAACAACAGGCAGGACAGGCCAACTGACAGGTCACCGAGCGTTTAGTGTGTGAGCGGGCAGACAGTACTGCATGTCGTGGAGCAGGTGTGGTGCGGTAAGAGCAAAGGGGGTGGACATGAGAGTGGGGGTTCAGGGCGGGACTGCAGGCAGCGCAACGGTGGCGGTCAGCCAGCGCTGATCAGCGCTGGCTGACCGCCATGATGACAGGCGGCAGCAAAGGCGGCGAGGCGGCACGGTTTCTGGCGGAGGAAGCGGTGGGGAGGATGGGGCTCAGCAAACAGGTCAGGAAAGTTGAGGCGCAGCGGGGCGTAAAGGGGGCAGGTGAGCAGCATGTGGGGGGCATCTTCAATGCCGTCGTGGCAGTGGGGGCAGACTCGCTGCTCTCGGGGGCGCCGCGTCCAGCGGCCGGTCTCTTCCGCGCCCCAATGCGACCCGGTGCGCAGCTGCGCCAGCGCCTCGCGGTCCTGCCGACGCCGTACCGCATCCAGGTAGGTCTCGCGCTGCCCAAACATGGCGGGCGCCAGGTTGAGGGCGCCCACCACGTTGTGCACATAGTGCTCCAGCCGGCTGGCGCCGCCCTTCGCCAGCGCCTCCTGGAGCTGCGCCAGCTGGAGCTGCAGCTGCAGCTGGCGGCGCTGCGCAGCTTCCCCCAGCTCGCCGAGGTCAACAGGTGCTGGCTGCTGCAGGTCCAGCTGCATGCCGACCGCTGCGAGACCGGCCGCCAGCTGGGCAGCCCAGGACTGCTGTGCCAGGAAGTGGGCGCCATCTGCGAGCTGCACGCTGGACAACAGCGCTTGCTGCAACAGGCTGCCGGGACGCTCCTCCAGCGTCTTGTTCCAGAGTTTGGCTGCCCGCCGCAGCCAGCGCTGCCACAGCGGGCGCTCGCCAGTCTCCGCAAGGAGGGCCGCATTGGGGGTGCTCTGCCGGACCCCCAGCAGGTGGCGTAGGTAGCTGAGCTGCAGCTTCTCGGCCGCGCTGCCGGCACTGCCACGATGGCAGCACGCCAGCTGCACGCCCCACACCTCAGCACCATGGGACAGCACCGAGTCCACCATGGTGCCGAAAAGCCGCAGCTGGACGGGCGCCGCCTCGATGCCCACCTCTGCGCAGCGGGTCCGGCAGTTGTGCATAGCCAGGCGCGCCAGCTGTGCCCGGGCTGGCGCTGCTGCCCCTGCCAGGCAGGTGCTGGAGTGAAAGGCGATGCCGAGATACTTGAAGCTGGTGACTGCCGCCAGCTGCTGGCCGGCGAAGGTGAGGCCTGCTGCCTCTGCTGTCTGCTGCGCCGCGTGCTGGGTCCGCCGCCCACTGAGCAGCATGAGCTTGGTCTTGTTAGGCCGCGGCTAAGAAAGGCCTTCTTTGAAGGCGCTGGAGCTAGTGTCTAAACCCTCCGAGAGGGCACAGGTTCGATTCCTCCCATGTCGAAACTTTGTGAGGACAAACGCGGCATAGCTGACCGGCTCAGCGCCAATCCAAGCCAATTCCTTCGGGAACGCCTAATAGAATCGCCAAGGCTTCGGCACAGGCCTCCCCGGGACCCATTCACTACTAGTGGGGGGTACTGTGTGTGTGTGTGTGTGTTACAGGGATTACTGCACTTGGCGCGTCAGGCAGATCACATAATGGTCTAAAGC